AAGTGGAGCTGAAAAACTGTTCTTAGAGTGTCTTGGGGTCAATTATCACAGGAAAGAACGAATAAGTAGGGCAGTAACAGTTTTTATTGCAGCGAAGGAGTACATAAAACACAGGCAACCTTCGGCGGCGTGATCATGAGCTGGTAGAGTTTAGATTGGATTCTAAGAAAAGAGAAAAATCCTATTTACAAAGCAATTTCGAGAAAAGATTTCAACAAGGTTTTGTACTAATTGAAATAAATTTATAGAAACACCGTTAAAGGGGCAAAGGAATCTGAGAGTCGGACATTTATTTAGGGAAGGATATTAGGGAAGGTATTTACATTCACAAAAAGATGAGGTAAGTATAAGAGGGAGGCAAAGAAATTTGACCTACAAAGCAATTTATACTTTGAAGTACAAAGGAAAGACTATTATTTAGTTCTAGATTTCAATTCAAGTTTCTAAGGAGGAGGACAGAGAAATGGAAGAAGAGATGTACTTTCCAGAAGATGTAGCAGTAAATTATTTTTTAAAAAAAGACCTTGGTGTTGTGGCAGAGGGAGTTACTGGGAAGTATTGTTAAAGAAGAACAAAAACGGGACCATAAATTATCTCAGGAACAATGGAAGATTTAAATCTGGGGGGTGGGGTTTAATTTAAATACATTGATATGATTAAGTATTTAAAGTGTTGATATGATTAAGGATTTGTTTAATTAATTTTGCAATCAACCAACAGTTAATGAATACAGGCATCCCTTGGTATCCCCAAGGGATTGGTTCCAGGCCCTCTGAGGATACCAAAATCCGAGGATGCCCAAGTCCCTTATATAAAATGATGTAGTATTTACATATAACCTACACATACACTCTTGTAGTTGAAATCATCTCTAGATTACTTAGAATACCTAATGCAATGTAAATGCTATGGAAATAGTTGTTATACTGTATTTTTTTATTTGTATTTTTTGTTGTATTTTTATTTATTTATTTATCTTTTTAATATTTTTTTATAGTTTAATGTATTTTAATAGCAAACTTACAAGAACAGCACAGAAGACAGACAACATTAAAAACACGTACTTGCATGTAGGACAACTCAGTTAGAAAAGTATAGTGAATGGATGGAATCTACTGTATGATAAAAATGCTACAAACACCATTTAGTTGCTGTCAATAAGAAATGTACTTGTTTTAAAAAAATCCAAATGCTGGCATTGTCCAGAAAAATTTAACAGGTTTATTTATAATTGTTATAAAGTTGAACTGCTGAAACTTGTTCACTGAAACATTTGACTTGCATTAATGCTTCACATCCCCGCATTTATATTAAAAATTCACACACAAATGAAAATGGAAAAACTGCCAATACCTGATTTCTGACCCCTATTTTTCCACTCGAAATCATATACTTAGGTACCTTTTGACCCCATGGGGAAAAAAACATCTAACGTTCAGAACTACCAATAACAGGAAGAAGAGAATTTTTTTTTTTTTTTTTTGAGAATGAAATGTTTTCCCATCATAGTGGATTGTTAAGCACGTTCTCCACGTATGCGGCGTGCTAGCTGGATGTCTTTTGGCATAATTGTTACACGTTTGGCATGGATAGCACACAGATTGGTGTCTTCAAAAAGGCCAACCAGATAGGCCTCACTTGCCTCCTGCAAAGCACCAATAGCTGCGCTCTGGAAGCGCAGATCTGTTTTGAAGTCCTGAGCAATTTCTCGCACCAGACGCTGGAAAGGAAGTTTGCGAATCAGAAGTTCAGTGGACTTCTGATAACGTCTAATTTCACGGAGTGCCACTGTACCAGGCCTGTAGCGATGAGGTTTCTTCACCCCTCCAGTAGAGGGCGCACTCTTGCGAGCGGCTTTTGTAGCCAGTTGCTTCCTGGGTGCTTTACCACCGGCCGATTTGCGGGCAGTCTGCTTTGTACGAGCCATGGTATAAAGACCTCCTTACTTACCCCCCTTCTCCTTCGGCTGGAGCTCAGCCAGTGAGAGGCGGCGCGGCGGCGGCTGCGAACACAATTCTCTTTTTAATATTTTTGATCCTTGATTGGTTGAACTCAGGGTTGCAGAACCCATGAATGATGCTTGGTGCCAGGGGAATATGTGGGTGAATGGCAGGGTCCCTACTCAAAATTTGTTCATAAGCTCATCAAAAAGACAAAGAACATACACATAATAGATACAAGACAAAGCAATATGTTGTAATAAAACAGAAACTGTAGCAGAGAGCAAAATTATTTCCAATTCAAGTAAACTGGGACAAATTCATTTATTTACTCAATCTTTCCGTAAATATGTGAGTAGCTACAATACAGTGACTGTCACATAGTCAGCGCCGGGGGATAGCAGCAAATAAGGTAGACCCAGACTCTCCTCATGGAAGCCCTTGAGATTATTGGAAGGGTTTCCGGACAGTATATTTCTTGGGAAAGTTTTATGTTTTTCTGAATTACGAGAAAATCAGTAAGGAAGTTGGGAAATGGGGGAAGTTATTGTAATTCTTTTATGAGAATTAAATTTAATCATCATAGAGATGTTACAGGTTAGAAGGAATGCACTTATGTCGAGTTGAAAGCAAGAGCAGGAAACACTGACACATGGAGTTGAAGGTTAAGGTCGACATTTCCAGAATTGGAACAGGAAGATATAGGAGAAAATTGGTCATTATCTAATCAGTCAGTCTGGCTTGTAGCTGTTGCCATGTGTTAAGTGTGCATTCCTGGCCCTGTCTGACACTAATGGAACTCATTCTTGCAGATAAAATAAATATTAAAAACTTTATACATATAATATACTATATACAAATTCTGTGAATGGTATTCCAAAAAATAACAGGTTTGGAGGGCAAATTAAGACCTAATTGGCAATTTCCATGTGTGATTCTGTTAATCTTGCTAGGAGATCTGCATGGATTCTATCCAATTATGTTCACTGATGTTTTTCCAGTGTTTGAATATGTGTTATAGGCTGCAGTTCCCAGGTTACAGGGAACTGCAGCTCGAGGCCGAAATACATACTGTCCATTTGCATGTATTTCTCACTTATCGTGAATTGACCGATTGCCTTTGTACTTTCCAGCACCCTACAATTCAGCCCACATTGTCACAGACTCAAGTCAGCTGGCTCCCACTTAACATTCCATCTTTGCTTCCCGGTGTCCCTCCCTACTTCTTTTCATTGACTGCATGTTCTTCATCACTTTATGCCTCCTCTTCCAGAAATACTCCTTTATCTGGAATGCATTTTTGTTCTCTTCTGGGCTTAGGCTTCATATTCCCCTGTCTTGAGCTTCCTGAAATCTTCCCTGTCTATTCTGTAAGTCTCAGTTTACAAGTCCAGCCCTTCCAAGAAGCCTCCCCAGATCCTCCAGTCGAAATTAATCGCTTCGGTTTTCTCTTGGTAATGGTTTCTCCTCTTATGATGCATGTAGTTTCCCTGTATCGTACTGGATACCCTCTTGACTCCCCATCATGTGTTAAACTCCTTGAGGCTGATTGTAGCCCTCCAGCTGGCACAGTACCTGGCAAAGAAGAGGCACTCGGAGAATGTTTGTTAACTGGAATCAAATACACAATTACTGAACATGATGATTTTGACTAATTGAATCACAGCAAATGGCTGGTCTAGACATATGGTAGTTGATGACAAACACCTGTTTTTTAGATATCTAACCTTTTCCCCAAAGACCCCAGCTCAACAAGGGTGTAGAGTAAGTGTTCAGCATGCTTAGTGGTTTGGACTGACAAGAAAGCTGGTCAGTGCTGGCACTAACATTTCAACACCCTCTCTGAGCTTCGCCTCCAAAGGACACTACATTCTTTATATCTGGGCAGATCGAACTGGCACACTCCACTGCTGCTGCTTCCAAACTGGCTGCAATGTTAGAAGCAGGGCTGCAGGACGCCTTTAACACATTAGTTAAGCTCGCCTAGCTTATGATTGCCCCGTTCCAACTTGCTACACCCAATAACAGCTTGCAGGTCTTGCTGTTGACCACATCGGTTGTGCTGTGATGAGTGCCCTTCTGGGTCCAGACACTTGGCCTTATCCCAAGACTTTGTTGCTGGCGAGCTGGGCTCTGTTTAACCTTCAGGAGGCCTTGCACGTGATGCTGAGCCGAATACCCAAGGAGGCGGTGGTGTAGACTGAGCAGATCT